GTTTATGTTGGCTTTTGTTACTTCGAAAACAAAGGGGCGAGTTGACAGATCAAACTTCATAGCCAATCAGTTTCTATATTTGTGTATTTATTCACTGTTGAACAGAACAGTTAGTCGTTTTTACGTCATTAAACATAATTTCGTTTGTTAACCTCATTCTCCTCTTTCCACCCATATCTTTACTCACAATTCTATTTTCAGTAAACCTTTTTGTGTTTGTGTAAACTCTGATTGAATGATGACGTTGGTTCCATTTTTTAGTGTTTTGCGTTGTGGGGACACAAAATGGTTTTATTAACCAATTAAGTGTTTCATAAATAAATCAACTTGGGCATGAGCAGAACAACGAACTTAAGATAAATCCTCAATCTCGAGCGTCTCTTGCCCTGGATGGAATCGAGAACTTGTGTAAACAGTCTTCGAACAAATCTGTTGTAAATGGTGCGCTGGTGGACTGACTAGCCGACCTTTGGCGTCAGTAAATTTTAATCTAAGAGTCTGGGTTTTTTTGGGCTTCCTACATCAATAGACCGTATATTAACAAGTCTGAATTTTAATCATAAATATCGTGCCAATTTGATTTGTCTGAAACCACTCCCAGGTTTGGTGCCTCTGCACGGAACGGAAAGTGTTTGAAGGCTCCCACAAACCGTTGGCTGTGCGTTGCGTGAAGTTCCGACCCATAGTCACCAACACGGAGATGGGTACCGAGATCTTGCTGGCCTCCGGCGATGCCGCTGGCAACCTTCGTGTCTGGCGTCTTACTGCTCCCAAGTAAGTATTGCCTTTCCGTCTCGAAGAATAATTCCCTTTGATAATAAAAGCGCTTTTAGTTATGAAAATTGATGGAGGCTAGAGGCTATTTTGACGGGTGATTTTTTGTTGGACTTGTTATTTACAACTATCCTTAATGCACGATTTATCAGACTGTTCTGTGCTACGGGGGGAATTTTTTGCCTTCGAAGGAGAATTTCTGAAGATTCTGTTGATGTTGCTGGATGCGAAATTAATAGCTAAATCGACCGCTAGTTTGCGTCCGCAGTTACCTTAGAAAGTCTTGTTAAGGTGTTTTATTGGAGCGACCCGGTTAATAATTTGTTCAGCCTATTTTGTGGGTCTGAAAGTGCAAAAAGAATCAACAATATACTGTTTTCCTGTTTTATCGTTTACTCAATTGCGCGTGATAGTCCCATTGACTGTTTTTTTAGCTCTACCATGTTTCCATATAAATCACATCTTATTTGGCGTTGATTTCTTAGCTA